GAGAAAAGGAGACAGAGTTGAGGCAAGTCCAGTACAATGTACACAATATAGGTAGAATATGTTAGGAGTAGGTGAAGATAGGCTTGTCATTATTATTATTATTCTTTACCAATATCAACATAGTAGAGTAGGATAATAGTAGGATATAAAAGCCAAAAAACAAAATTAAGTCAGAAATATATTCGATTTAGGGCATAATGAGATTGAGAGGGGAACTGTTGACCACATTAATATCTCATGTGCATGGCTCAGAATTTAAAAAGTGAGACTGAGTCCTGATCCACCTTAATATTTCAGCAGGATAATTATAGTTAGTGTTCCATTTATAAAATAACCTTTCTGCAATTATTTTATTATTTTAACAAAAACATTAGTAACACTCCATCTACAGCTAGAGGTACTATACAATAGGAGTACTCAGTTGAAAAAACAGCCTGTTTTTGCCTCATTCTGTAAATCTGTAGATATTTCTTCTTATTGTTATCATCACTATTATTATTATTATTATTACTGCTACTACTACTTAAGACTACACTAGAAGCAGTTCAGATCTAGAGAGCCATTAGGCTGGCGAGACTAGAGAGCCATAGCCTCCATCAACACTGCATTCTTCTAAAAGCAGATTAGCTTAAGTTAAGCAACAATCTCAGGCATAGCTAAATAGTATTAATCAAGTGTAGACCTGGTCCCATAGACAGATTATATACAGTTCCAAACATCTAGAATTCTGCATCAACTAGTATTCTCGCGTACTAATCAACTATAACGCATCCTCTGCACTCTCTGCAGCATCACATTCCTGTGGTTTTGCAGTTGATGCAGCAGCACATTCCTGTGGTTTAAGAAGAATGTGCTGCTGCAAAATGTGCTGCTAACTTCAATGGAGTTATTTACATGTAGCAAAAATAAATACATGTAAATGCATATAAATGAAGTTAATGTTATATGTGACCTTGTATAGACTATATCATGGACTACTGAAGGCTTTTCAATGGCAAAATGGAAGAAAGCTGAAATCGAGAGACTCTCAAAAGATTACTCTGATGTAGGAGAAGCAAAAGTATGCCCTAATGTACTGTAAATGCATGTACAATGTACATGTACATGTGCATATAATAAATAATTTATTATTTATTTAGAGAGGTGATGGGATGCTAAAGAGACCAATGTTTCAGATATCACCTGATCAAGCTGTACTCTTACCTTACCAATCACAGAATGTTGTAATCACTGCTTACTCCGACATGTAAGAATTATATATACTGTACCCTATGTACATGTACCTAGTTGATCTGTACATGAAGTTCATGAACATGCATGTACAGTACATGTACTCTATTGTATTAGTTGCTACTGTACTGTAGACTGATACATCTACATGTATTTATTGTGTTTGTGTTTGACATGCATTTACAACTGTATCTATACTTTTCGCCTTTTTTCTTTTGATTTCTTCCGCTATTATTTTATGATTTCTCTCACTCTCCATTGGTCCAGTGCTCAAGAAGTGAAGGAGCGGTTACTGTGTCATGCTATCATTGGACGGAATCCTCACAAAGAGAGAATAATGACAGTTGACATTGTGTGCCTCTTCATTGCTCCTCTATTAGAATTCAGCACCAAAGAAGTGACATTTAGAATGGAACAGGTATACAGTACATGTACATGTACATGTACATAAAGTAGAATTTGCAAAGAAGAGCAGAGAGTACATGTATATATTTACTGTACATACTTTTATTGTTAATTTTCAGGAGCCTGACAGTCTGTTGGAAAGGCATGTACATGACATGTTACTGAAGAATGTGTCTCCATTGCCATTAACTGCTTTATTAAGCTGCAGCTATCCTTTCAGACTGAGCCTCTCTCAGGATGAACCATTCACTGCTAATCAGGTACCCTACCATTGCACTCCTATACAGTACATATACATGCATGTATGTGCAGTATTCTTACATGTACAGTACATGTACATTCATTATTGCAGTAGTATTTTTATAAATGTTCATCCACCATTTTGTGTAGATGTTGTCATTGGGATCAAGTGAAGAGGCTGTACTGTCTGTCCAGTATGATTCCTCTTATTGTGTTGATAGACAGTCCCGTAATGAGAGCCAGACAATAGAGATTGCCTACAAAGAACATCCTCAGAAGGTAGAGGAATCCAGTACATGTACACATGCATCAATTATTAGATAAATTTGAAATTTTAGTAGAGATTTTTGATTTTCCTTCTTTTTTCTTTTTCTCTTGATCCTCTCTCTCCCTTTATTTTTTTAATTACATGTACATGTACATGTGTATGAACATGTATTTTTATTTTAGGACTACATTAATCTACTAGCCGAGATCCATTTCCCTAATATTCATTTCAGTACCACTAAAGTTGATTTTGGGTGTGTACTAAACAACACTGAAGTGATGGAGGTAGTCCGTATGACGAACAACAGTCCACTCGTCGTCAACTATCGCTGGTACTTCCTTAAAGGGGCCCCAACCCGCAGGGACCCTCTACATGATGATGAAGGTGTCGACATGCAGAGTGAAATAGAGACAGACTCCATCGAAGGCTCTAGCTCTAGTATTGACGAACAGCAGCAACCTGAAGGGGAGGGAGGAGCTGTCACGCCTCCTATTAACGTTGTTGATGTAGAGGAATCACCACGACCATCAGAAGGAGAGAAAGAGGAAGATGAAGGATCGTTAAAGGGAGTGGGCGTACATGTATCAAGGAAACAACGAGAAAGCATTGGGTTTGAGTTGAGGGTCACTCCTGAGTTTCTAGCAGCAGAGAAGATATCAGTTCATGTGACAGCTCCTAGTGTGACTGAATCTCAGACCGAGGATATCAATAGAACTGAAGGAGTGGGGGAGGATATCAGGGGGAATAGTGAAGTACCTGTTGTTATATCTCAGTCCTTGCCTCCTTCAGAACACAGTGAATCAACAGTAGAGGTTACTGAAGAGGAGGAGGAGGAGGTAGAAGAGGAGGAGGAGGAGAGGGAACGTCAGCCGTGGGAGATGGTAGGAGAACCTTTACAGCCAGTCAGCATTAGACAAGTGAGAGAGAATACAATATGTGCATGTGTACTATTGACTGCAGTATGTCTTTTAATAAGTAAAAATATATATACACGTACATGCATATAAATGTACTGTATATGTCATGTACATGCATGTTAATTTTATTACATGTGTTTATTTTTTTGTCTCAGATATTTGATATTTTGCCATTATTTGGAGTACTTCAGCCAGGAGAGACTCAGGATGTTGAGATGAGCTTCTTTGGTCATACTGACGTGTCTACTGAAGTGAGGGCTGTATGTAAAGTGGAAGGAGGCCCAGTCTATGAGCTGGTACTGGCTGGTGAAGCTTCTGATATACAGTATAGAATAAATAAAAAGAAAATACGTCTTGGAATTGTGGTAATTTTTATGAGATAGAGAGAGAGAGAGGGACAGAATAGGATGTAATGCAATATGGAATACATGCAGGGTTTCTCACAAATCATGCAGCATGTACATGTACATGTAAGTGAGCTATAACCCTTTTCCTTACACAAGTAATTCGCAAAGATTAATCCTTTGGACAACTTTTTGAATTATTTATGTTGTCATGGAAATCATCAATTATTCGACGCCACACCTCTTGACCACGCCCAATCAGCCATTTTGATCGTTTTTCATAGAGTATCTTTGTGCCTTTCAAGAGCTCTCAGTAGACCTGCAAGTTCTATTCCATTCACTTAAAAGTGCTCCAAAGCACCTAAACTGCTTGCACCTACATAGATTTTAGCTGCTGCATTTACTTACAACCAGTTTCATTGCCTTTACAATATCATCAACAAATAGTCAACTTTTTGCAAAAAAAAAAAAAAAAAAAAAAATAAGTGTTGAATAGCAATTATAAAAGTGCCGACAAAGCATTCTTTCACTTTTCTATTCTTTCCTATGGTTTCTATTTTACCACTAATATTATTCAATACCAATTTCTGCCAAGAAGGTGTGGTTTCCTGTAAAACGCACGTGTTTGCCCTAAAAAGAGGCGTGGTAATTGCTTTTTTATTAATTGTTATTACCTTGTTGTAGTTCTACAACAAATTGTCAGGCAAAGAGATAAACAGCATGCTTCTTGAATACATGACATTTAGGGTCGCTTTAAAAATTCGTAAAAAATCCAATTTTGATTGAAATTAGTTCAAACTTCCTACGCAGCATAAGAACATGTACATGTACGTGTGTATTTGTATCAGAAAAATTATAAAACTGGGAAATTTTCTCCTAGCCATTTTTGACGAAATTTGGCCAATGACCCTGATTTTGAAGCAACTTTAAAAATTCATTATAAAATTCAAATTTTTAAGAATCAGTTTAAACTTCCTGCACAACATAAGAACATGTAAATGTACTATATGTGTATCAGGAAAAAATTATAAAAATAAAATATTTTCTCCTTAAGATTTTGTCAAAAAAGTACCCTGTACTATAGTTATTGTGATATATTTATTTCCTAGCCTTATGACAGTCTTTGTTGTGAGGAGATAACACTGAGCAATATTGGAAAGGTAGCACTTGATTTCAAGGTACTTGGAGCTGTTGATGGTGAGCAGTTGGAACCAGGACAATTCTCTGTATCACCAACACAAGTAAGCAGAAAAACAATTTACTATTTCTGTATAACATAAATATTTTAGTATTAATCAAAAAGGACTTACGTTATTAAGATCTGAACCTGATCTACTGAGAATATTAATGTGGCTAGCTAAAGGTAATACTTTTTCATGCCTTTGCATGCACATGCATGTATATTATATATTATTCTGTCATATTCCCTTTTCCACATTGTTTGAATTCAAAATCTTCATTTTATTATTCATGCATGTAGATCTTTCTGAATCACTTGCACTATAGCTAATGTCTGTATAAATAAATTGACATTGTTATTTTTATTATTATTAATATTATTATTGTTAGAGGATGTTTACAGTACAGTGTCATTGTATTGTCTCCAGTTGGTACAGTCACTTATTCTTGAGCCATTGACTCCAGCACTAATGCAGCAAGTAATGGAATCAGTTACTCCTGAGCTACTACAAGAATTTGCTTCTTCTAAAAGTGAAGAGGTATTTTATTATAATTGGTGTTTTATATTTTTTTATTTCTCCCATTCTCTTTCTTGTCTTTCATTGTTTTGTCACCCTCTTTTATTATTACATGTAGTTTAAGCAAGTGGCTTGTGAATTAATGGTTGATATTCAAAGGCTTCAATGACAATACATTTATTCCAAGACACATGCTGTTTCTAATAATTATTGAATGTATAATAGCCTGTCAAGTATTTATGTTACAATACAGTGTCATATGCATTATTATGTCTTTGCTGATTTGCTTGAGATTCTGATGTTGATGATGACATCAATGTGAAACATATACATGTATAGGCAACAAATTTCTTTTTAATCCACCCCTTCGAGAGTATATGATATTGATATGAATATCATATGAGAATTTCCACCCCCAATTTTTGGAAAAATGGTTGATCTTACCCAATGGAGAGCCAGTATTGGCCTGTGGAATTGTTGTAAAGCTGCTGCTTGTAGTTCAACTAAGTTTAGCCATGCAACAACTGAAGCTCTTAACTTTCAAGCAGCATTTGCTTACTACATGGCAGCTATTCTTTTTCATAATACTTGTTCTTTTTTAAGACTGATTAATCAAGGTAGGCCATTGTATAGACTATATATAGTCCTAGATGTATAATTATAATTATTGTTATCAGGTTGCCGTCTTCATTTCTCATCACTTATTTGTCTTGGCTTGGCTGGAGGCAGTGCTCTTCTTTTGATTTTTCATCTACTTCTTTTATCAGGAGATATTGAACTTAATCCAGGTCCTGTAACAGGTATATATTTTTAATAAGGTATAAGTGTCACTTCCTTGTATTATAATAATGCAGGTGATTCAAAGGAAATATTTAGGTGGTATTCTAATAGGCTTGTTAACCCAATTTCTAAAAATCTTCTGAAAGTGACTAATGATATGTACGCTAAGGAATTAATACCACAAGGAACTAAAGATGAGATGATGGTGTCAACAATTAAACCCTATGATAGAGCTACTAAACTTGTCAATGTTATTGATGAGCAATTGGAGGGCTCTCTTGATCAACAGCAATATTTAGCAAATGTTTTTTATGTATTAAGGAACCAAAGAAATTGGGCACTGGCAGAGCTAGCCAGTTCTATATTTGGTGGGTAAATTATGTACTAGCTCTTGTTAGTATGTATCTGCATTATAGTGTAAATTTTTACATGTAAATGTACATGCATACATGAACATTATTGAGAAAATTTCTAAGTAGCATTGTGTACTATCAAAAGTAAAGTTCTTTCGGATCATATCTACTGGTATGGCACTTGCTTTTGGCAGCGTCATTGATCATGCAAAATTAATAAGCATTGTGGTTACTTAATTTTTATCATGATTTAGGTTCATTGATTCAGGTATGGAATTTTGTGAAATATCATGTGGGGTATATGTGGAGGCTGCATGTATTAATAATCAAATAAGTATTAGTTATTACACCCTACTGGAGGCTTTATCTGATATATACACGAAAACTATATTCATAGTTTGAGTGTATTATCAGGTAGATAAAGCCAACAGTCTAGTAGGGTGTCATAACTGGTTTATTCAGAAGCCATACAGAACAATGGCACCAAGCATGGTTGATAGTGGATATTCAATGAATATCATTGGATATCTGGCTGCCCTAGGGCAATATCCTTATTGCCCTAGGGTAATGATATTCATTGAATATCCACTATAAACCATGCGTGGTACCTTTGATCTGTATGGCTTCTATAGAATAAACTTTGTATTATAATCATAAAATTCAACATTTACATGTTCATGCAAATGGTATGGACTTGTTTTTGTTTTGTATATACATTCCCAGGTCATTCTAATAAAATTGAACTGTATCCTGATGATGTTAAAGAATATGCTGATATTTTAAAGAAACACTACAAGAAACGAAGTATCATTGAAACAGATTGGCCACAAAAAGTTGGAAATGACATTTTTGGAAGATTAGCACTTATGCAGCAAAAAGGCAACTCAACTTCTTATCACGAAGATAATACTGATAGGCATCAAAAAGACACTTCCATTCCACAAGAGTCATCAGATTGGTACATGCTACGGGGACAAGTAGATGAGATATATAATCTCCTTGAGAATGAAGAAGTTGATATCAAGGATATTTTAAAACCTACAAATGATTCAGAATCTATATCTCTTATAGTTCTAATTGATGGTCCTCCTGGCATTGGAAAGACAACACTTTGTCGTAAAATTTTACATATGTGGTCTGATAGAGAACTCATTCCGCATTATGACTTGGTACTTTATTGTTCTTTAAGAGATGAGAAGATAGCTAAAGCAGGTACATTGAAAGATCTATTTGTGTATAAACGTAATAATGTTCCTGAGATAGTTGATTTGATTGAGGAGTGCAATGGAGAGGGGATGCTGATAATTTTTGATGGTTGGGATGAACTAAGTGAACACCACAGACACTATTCGTTAGCTGCTGGTATTATTCGTAGGGAGCAGTTAGACCAATGTTCAGTAATTGTTACCTCTCGTAGCTTTGCCTCCTCTTCACTTATAAAAACGTCTTCTCTCAATAAACATGTTCATGTCATTGGATTTTCTAAGAATGAAATAGCAAAAGTAATTATACAAACACTTCAAAAAGATAAAAAGTTAGCACACGAACTCATTGATGAAATTTCTAAAACTCATTGGAATGGCTACAAAAAAACTGCTTTTTTCAAAACTTCTCAAAGCAATGAGGAGTCTTTACTAGCAGTGAATCTCATTAATGATCTTAAAGTGCGAAGTGATGTCCAATCATTATGTTTTATACCATTAATCTGTTCAATAGTTATTTCAGTTTATCTTGAGGAAAGAAAACTAAAAACAACACTTACTGAACTGTATGAGAACTTTATTATACAAACTATCAAAAGGCAAACAGAAAAGCAGGGTTGTCGCTCATATGTCTCTAATAGTCTTTCTTCATTACCAGTAGAGTTAGCTGAACCTTTTGAAGAGATTTGTCAGTTTGCTTACACTAACCTGGCTAATAATAATGAAGACCCTGTATTGACATTTGTTTCTCATCAAATTATTGGGATGTCGGCAGCCAAGGAAAATTATTTTGGTTTATTAACAACTTTCATAGATCATGCAGAAATGTATCAGTTCATTCACTTGACTATTCAAGAGTTTTTAGCAGCATGGTGGATAGCTAAGCAACCAAACCCAGAACAGATATTTAAAACCCATTTTAATAATGACCACTTTCGAATGTGTCTGAGGTTTGTTGCAGGTCTAACCAAACTTAGTCCGCAAAAAAGTTATGAACAATACTTCAATAAACCAATTGCCTTACAGTGCAAGACAAAAAGGTTATTTGGATTTGTTGCTCGATATCAATCCTATTTCTATACTAATCCAATAGTTGACCATGTTTATCAATATGAGCTCCTTACTGATTTTGATGGTTTTCCTATTCTCCTCCTTCATCTCCTTTACGAATCACAAAATAAAGAACTATGCCAAGCATTAGCGCTATCCATTAGTCCTCAATCAATTTGTCTTCATGCATTACAATTTTCTCTATTTGACGTATTGTGTCTCAATTATTTTCTTAATGTCAATAGTACTACCCACTGGGACCATCTTCATCTGATGCCATTATATCAAGATGGACAATCAGTATTTACTACCATATTGAACACAAAAAGACTAGATGCACATTTTTATGGACTCACCAATGACACAATACTACAATTAAGGAATGTCCAGGAGTTCTACATTGAAGTATCAGGTACTTCTCTATATACATGTGATGTACTTGTACGATTCCTCAGTTTTTCACAAATAAAAATACTGCACATGACAGTAGACGAAAGCATGGAAAAATATAATATGGAACAATGCTGTTGTTCTGATCTAAAGAAATGTTTAGCAGAAAAAACAACTCTACAAGAATTCAATGTTTGTCATAGACGAACAAATCAATTTTATCATGACATCCAAGAAAAGATAAATTGTCATGAAAGGAGCATTTTTGATGCTATCATGAACGGAATATGCGACAATATAAGCATAACATTTCTTTCAGTACAATTTTTTGGTAATGGCATATATTTAACGCATGGTTTATTAGAGCAACTCTTAAGCAAAAACAAACAATTAAAATCTCTTTTTGGTACTATTCTTCCATTGCCTACAGTGGTTGAAACATTAAACTCACCATTGGTTGCTCTAAATGCGACAACTCTTCCCTGTGATAAAGAAGCATTGCCATTACCTGTTCCAGAAAATACTCCCCTCATTCCTGGATTGGAATGTATTTTATTATCAAAACTGCATCCATCACATATTAGTAATCCTAGCTTGGTTGTAACTGAATTGCCAATAAATTCCCCTGAAAGTGCTGTTGAGCTCTTTGATATTCTAAAAACTGATAATAAACTGAAAGCATTGAGATTACTTTTAACATCTGAAACATTTAGTTGTATCTGGACTTTCCAAAATATGTGTACTAGCATGAAAGAAATGCTCCAACGAAATCAAACATTAGAATGCCTTGAAATAAAAACAGATTCTCCATTGCAGTTTACCAATACTTTTAACGTTCTTTCACATATATTCCTTTCTTGTCTCATTGCTGGTCTTGAGAAGAATGAAACATTACAGCAGCTGTATCTACCTATTCTGCTCTCTACTAGTTGTATGTATAATGATGACAATGATGTAAAAACTCTTTTTAATCTTTTGTCTTGTAAGAAAAACCTTACCGAACTCCAATTAGAATTTCAAGGCCACAATCAAAAACACACCATCATTAAAACAGACAATGACACCATATTCCAGAATCATGTTCTACCAATGATTATTGATATTTTACTGTCCAATACAAGGATTGAGGTACTAAGTTTAAGTATTCACTTTTTTCGTTCACCAAAGCATAATAATAATAAATGGAAAGAATTCATTGATGCTATCCTCAACCATTCTTCACTTCAACATGTTGTTTTAAAGTTGCGTTTTCAGAATGAGTTGAAAGAGTTTCTCAGAGGGCTTGTAAAGGAACTTAAGGAAGCACCAGTAATAATCTGTGAAATTTAATACCTGGGAAGTGGAATATTTTACTGCCTTTATTATTTAACTTTTACATGTTTCTAATTTTACTGTTTACATCTGAGCTACTATAAATGACTAGATCTATAATTAACAAAAAATTAACTGGTTTTTTCTTGTATAAATATTCTA